GAAATACCGGCTCTTTCTCTGTAACTCGATTTTGACGCTTTGTGTTTCGTGCTTCACATGTGCAACTCCACTGCTTTAATTCCCATCGTTCCGAGCTTGAATCGCTTCTTGCACAAAATCCACTGTGCCTCATTTATGTTCCCTGGTTTTAGCCATGGAGAAAACTCTTGGCTGGAGCCAATTTTGGTTACATTTACACTTGCTCATATTTTCCAGACAAAAAGTTAATGGTGCATCTCCCAAATCTCACGGCCGCAACAACGCTTTTATTGGTTCTGCTATCGGGACAGAACCAAAAATGGCGAGCCATTATTTTTTTTTTTTAATAAAAAAAAAATGTAACTTTAATGTTTTATTTAGATTACAAAAATAAATTGTAATAAAAATAATCCTATTTATAATGTTTTAAAAATTAAGACCTACGAAAGACTGATTTAAGACATTTTAATACCAATTAAAGCCTTAGTTTTATTTTGAAGAATTCAATGCCTTTTTAAGACTTTTTAAGGACCCGCGGGAACCCTGTTATTTGTGGTTGTATCATACAAATAAAAAGTTGAAAAATCATGCATTAAGATTTCTGGATTGTTTTTTTAGGTTATGTCTCTCAAAGTTGACATGCACCTACATTGACATTTTCAGACCCCTCCATGATTTTCTAAGAGGGAGAACTTGCAAAAATACTTATTTTCCTCACTGTATATAGGCCTTAAGATTAGATATTTAACAAGACTAAAAAACTAAACACAGGTTATTGTTCTGATTAGACATTCTGATCAGCTTGCAATTTTATAGGTGTGCATGAAAATTTTGGGGATGGTGCTTTAAAAATAGCAATGATTAAAAACTTTAGCTTAACATTGTAATAAGTCATGTGAAGGTTTGTTTGCACTGATAAACACCAACATCCCTTTAACGTTTTTACATGAATAAGAAATAATTGGAAATGTGTTTGCTGATGTCATTAGGGAGGTTTACTTCTTCACTGTTGCACATTGAGGAGCAACAGCAACTTTTTTAAGTAGCTCTGAAAAATCAGTTTAGATTATTCAGCCAACTGCTGGAAGAAGGGTAACAGTTTGGGCAGACGTCAATTGGTCAGTTTTTCTAGTTTGATGTAAACGAGTATCTTAAATGATTCACTGTTTTTGGATCAGTTCAATAAAAATATCAGCTATTCTTTCTTATTGAACTTGGTTTGATTTAATTAATTCAGTGAAGGTAAAAGCTTGGCTAAGTTCAGTGCTTACAGGAGCTTACTAATATAGAAGGACGATGTCTTCGTATAGAAAGTACATTCATGGCAACCTAAACTAAATATCCAAGACCACCACAGAAAAAAGTTTTAAAAACCAACCAATAAAAAAAGTACTCGACCCTGGTACACAGTTTCCCATCAAAACAGGTCAACAGACTAGTTCTGATGTTTTAGTCCCTCAATCTGCATGAACGATCCTCAACAAATGATTGCAACCTGAAGAGGTGGTGAGAAACGAGACCCTGAGCCCTGGCTTCTCAGTGAAAAGCCTTTCAGAGAATACCTGACAAACCTTCAGACATGAATAAATATTCTAACTCCTGTTATGGATCACCGACGATGTCGGAAATTCACTTCTATTTTCTCTTTAACTGCAGAATAAAATCCTGTGGATTGTTTGAAAATACTTATACAACCCTTCACAGGAAGAATAAGTGGGATTATGTAGAAACAAACCTGCTTGCCTAAGACACTGAAAGGAAGAATAGTTAAATAGAAACCTAAATATGACCAATTAGAATTTAAAACCTTTCCAGAATGTATAGGAATCCTGTCCATAAGTGATCTAATTATTATGTAAACTTATTAAAATTGGGGAAAACTTTCCTGCAATTCAAACCCATCCAAGCTTTCAGAAAACTTAGATGAATCAATCTTAATCAGTCCAGACAGAAAGCATGTAAAAAATAACATGACATTTAATAATCATTGGTTCAGTTGGAAATAGGAACGCAGCATTTATGTTAATTTCATAGCAGTGGCACCTAAAAGGATGTTATATTCTCTTAAGTTGCATTGTTCACACAAAAAAAATAGTTGCCAATTCAAAGAGACGGCAACTTCCATCTTCTTACACTAAACAAAATCAAAGAGGAAACAATAGTTTAGAGCTGAAAAAGTTAATTGTATTAATCGCTTATTGAAATAATGGTCAACTAATTTAGTAATTGATTAATCATTAACTGGGGCAGATACTGTAAAACATGCCTTTAACTGACAGAGCAAACCACTTAGAGCAGTAATTATATCAAAACTGTAAAGAAATATAATAAACATTTTGCATTTAATATATGAAAACAAATCTTTGTCTGTCAATATGCTCTATCCAGAACTCCTCAAGTGTAAAAGTTTTAGTTTCACCTGGTTTTATTTTGTAAAAAAATCTTCAAGGAACCTTTGCCTATCCGATTATTAATCGAAAAATAACCAACTGTGAAATAATCATCAGTTGAAGCCCTACAATAGTTTGAAACAAATTCAAAGGATTATTTTTATATTGTTGGATAGCATCTATATAACCCCCAAGTATTCCATGTTACTCATGAGAGTGAGAGGGACGTCTAGTCGCCTTGAATACAAGAATAACACTGATGTCTTCCCAGAACTAACCTGAAAGGTCCGAAGGACATGTTAATACAACAGAAAAAGGGACCTAATATAGCTCTCCACAAAACAAAAGCTATAAAAATGGAATATAAAAGTGCAAAGCACTTTGCATCCTTTCTTTTACTGCGATAGAAACCAAAAAGACCCACTCAGTACATTTATTGGGCAGGCGGTGAAGTTTGGTATACGATACATTTGAGATAAAAGCAAAGAACAATACCTGAGTTATTTTTGACTGCACAGAGGAAACTATGGACGAAGACACTGCCTTGTCTTTCTCCTGAGAACCACCCCTGAACAGAAGAAAAAAAAAATCAATTGTGTTAACAGGAGCACACATGTAATATTCATGATATTTTCTAAAATGCTCAACTTGGACAGGCTTCAAGCACAGAAAGAGGAGGAAGGAAGAGCAAAAGAATAGAAAAGTAGAAGAAAAATGCATTTGACCTGTAAAAATACATCCATCCATCCAGAGGCCAAACCATCCAGCTTCAAACAGCCGAATGGAAAATCACATAAACAGCAGAAACACTGTAGTCTTCAACTTTCCCATCATGGTTCTGTCTTTAGCTTTATCTCTTTTTAACAAGGAAAACACTTCATAATTTAACAAGCTATAAAAAAAAAGAAGAAAAAAAAAAATCGGCAGAGAATTGTTCACATCAAGCAGATTGAACAGAGCAGGTGAAGCTGCAGTGCAGACGGCTACTGGGGTCTTAGAATTGGGTCCAAAAGCCTGACCCATCTACTCAGTTATTTACAGATTTGTCTGCTAAGACCCAGTAAAAAGATGACTAAGTAATAAATACTGAAACAGGTAAAAAGTCCTAAACTAAATCATGCAAAAATGGAAAACCTAGCTTTCACATAAAAGAAAATGGAAATGAAACAGTTTTAGATAAAAACTAAAAAAGATGGTTTCATTTAATATTTGTTCTGATAGATTAACATAGACTATAGATTAAATGATAAAAATTAGAATTTTATAGAAGCCTAAGTGCCAGATTTGAGGGAACACTTTGTATTAGCATAAACAAGAGTCTTTATTTTATCACAATTAACAGGAAAAAAGGTTCAGCAGAGGTTGATCAATGATTAGAACTTGCATGGGATTGCCTTTGGCCTATGGTCCCATCCATTAGCAACTGTTCATTTGTGCTGGCAGCAGTTCATGGAGTGCAATCAGTTATTTAGTCAGTAGGTGTTAATCATGTCAGGGCCTGGTGCAGCGCAGTTATTCATACTTGAGATTCTCTCTTGGATATCTGCCACCGTGATCTAAACAGATTCTTGTTTGGACAGAATGCGGCAGTTGACTCCCGGATTATTTATCCTGGTCCAAAGATGCTATTCTCATGTTACTACCCAAACAGTTTGGATGGTTAGGTGGAAAACATCCTTAATTATATACTGGCTCCTGCTCTGAGGTTGGGCCTTATATGTTGGTATATGTTAGATATCTTTCAGCAAACCTTTCTGTTCCCTCTTCTCTTTTTATGGGGACTACTGTTTTTATCCCTTTGCTCATCTTATATCTAAGCATCACCTTCATTAGCTCTCACAATGTGGGTGTGGATTTATATTGTAAGGAGAGAAACACTCACAAACCTTCAGAAAGTATTTCATTTTGCTGTCTTACTACTTTGCCAATGGGTCCATCTTGACCTTTTGTCATTGTTCTCCTTTTACTGACGTATTTTCAATGCATGTCATTAATCTTTACCTGTTATGGCTCAATCTATTTACACACTTCTTTACATTTATCAGCTTCATGACTCTTAAGCAAAGAAAAATAAAAATTAGCACAATACAGGGTCTTTCTTCACATCCCTTGAACTTTTTAACATTTCCTGAGGTTTTAAACACAGTCTCCAATCTATTTCATTGGGATTTGATGGAATAAGCTACCATAAATAAGTGCATGCGTGTGAAATGGGAAGGAAATGGTGCCTACCTTTAGCCCATTTTTACAAAGGATTTGTATAAAGTGTGACAGAGAAGCCCATAAATACCCTTACATGTAATCCAAAATAGATCAGATAGCAACTTGTCAGCAGTCTATTCTTAGTTGAAATCCAGCTGTTTAGTGAAGGCTTTAGGGAAAACCTTGGTGATGAAACGTCATCCGGAAGACAAGAGTATAACTCAGGCAGAGCAGGGATAAAGTTTGACTATTATGGTTATAAAACAGCTCACATTTCCCAAACCTATCTTCAATGAATCATCTGAAAAAATGAAAAGAACTACAAATCTAAGAAGGCAAAGAAACCAGTCTAAAATGACCGTCCAGGAAATATTTCTCAGAAAAGTATCTTAATGTCAGCTATAAGTCTGTAGGACCTAAATAGACCCACAGCTTAGGTGTGGGAACCTGTTGACAGGTTGATTATTAGTAATAAACTGAAAAAAATCCAACTTTTATGGGAGAGTGGCAAAAAGAAAGCCATTAGAAGTCCCATTTCTGCCACAAGCCACATCTGGGACAGCAGACATGCCGTGGAATGTTTTCTGACCCCAATACCAGAACTGAAATTTCTGTCCTGCGTTAAAAACACAAAGTGTAGTGGCAATCTAATGTCTTCATTAGTCTGTGCCCCTGCTTGATGCAACATAACCATTCCAGACAAATAGTGGAATGACTCACTTTGAAACAAAATGCAACCATTCCTAAATTCAATTCAGAAGACTTAAAAACTGATTTGCACAGAAGTTCTGAAGAATGGGCAAAAAAGTATCACTGTCTAGGTGTGCAGAGGAGGAAGACATATGTAATGAGCATTTGAATCTATCGCAAAGGGTTGTTCTACAAAGGAAAAGCTGTCTAAATACAAAAGCAGAAAAAAACACTTCCCCTATTTGAAAACTACTCTTAAATCACACATTTATTCCAAATTACAAACGCTTGTTACCCAGTCTCAATGAATCACATAAAATATCACTGAATTATACTGGAAATTATGGTTTTAGTATTTAAAAACAAATGTAAGGGGTATTACTGTCCAAGCTTACATCCATCATGGATAACACCTTCCACCCTCTGCAGCAGAGTGTAGTGGAGCTGAGCAGCTCCTTTAGTGAAAGACTTTTAGACCCTGTTTGTAAAAAGGAGCGCTACTGCAGGTCATTCATCCCTGCTGCAACCAGACTCTACAATATGATACTACAACACTAATAACTTGTACCTTTTTCTTGTTATATGGAATGCAAAACACTAAAGAAAATTTTTTGCCTTTTAATTAGTGATTTTGGTCTTTTTGGGATGGTTTTTACAAACAGTCTTTTTATAGGAGTTTGCCATAATAGAAAAAAATAAGCCAAAGACTTGACTTTTGAATTTTTTAATAAGTGAAGCAAAGACGGCCATTTACTTGTCCCGCAGAGACAGACTGCAGGAGGGACCTCACCTTGATGCTGTGGCTCTGTGGAAGTGCAAAGTTAAAGCCAGAATAAGGCTGGAGTTTCACTTCCGAGCCACACAGAACATCGAAGATTTTATTCAGTTGTGGGGTTCTAACAAAATTTCATGTACTGTGTCAGATGAAGGACACTACAATTTAACAAGCTCCTCATTTAATAATTTTTAGCAAATACTTGTTTTTACCTTAATTTGTTTTACACCAATATTTGATTCTATTGTTTGAATTGTGTAAATAAATTGTTTTTAAAATCCATTTTTCTTCTTTTGGCACATTCTTTTTCTTTGACTATTTGAGCTGATGTAACGAGTAAATTTCTCCACTGTGAGATCAATAAAGTCAATCAATCAACAAATAAATCTTTTGGGGAAGAAATACGCATAATATGGTAAAGAATATGACAAATAGAGTGGAAATTTTGGAGAGTATAACCTTGAATGGCCAAGGCTGGACGCAGGGCTCACTGAGTGAGAGAAAACTCTGGGTGAGGAATACGGAGAGACGGAGGTTCCTGCAGTTTGTATCTGTCCCGACAAAGAAAACGCTTTTCTTTTTGGCTCTGAAGGGGACCTGCAAGAAAACATTGGGAAGACATGAACTCAATTGTATCAAATGTGGGATCCTTCTTATTCCAGCTCTCATGATTGAACATTTTAAAATAAAGAGCTTTAGCAACCCTAAGGTTAAGTTATTACCGTAAGTAAACAATTTAATGTTTGTGAAAGGACCAACAAAATAAATCAAGACATTAATTAAAGAGTGAAAGCTGAAATACGTCAAACATTACAGATTTCAGAACACACATGGCAGCTACAGTGTGCATGTCTACTTTGACAGCTGAAATGAGAAACGCTCCAGAAATCTCCCGCTCTGTGACTCTTGCTCTCAGGACAAAATGGTAACACCTGCTGTTAAATCTACCTGGATCTTGAATGGCCCCTGGGCAAGCTCGACTGGCTGCTGTGATGATAACGATCTCTCTCCTCACGTCTCTTTTCAGGCGATGCTGCCCTCCTGTCTCTCCTCCCAGGGGAACGCGAGCGGGATCTGGCCACACGAAGGGACAAAGGAAATATAAAAGCGGGTAGGAGCCGACACATTAAAAGAGAAAAGAGGCACTGATCCATTTACACTGAAGAAAAGGATAAATAAAAACAGCCACAGTTTAAATGGCAAGAACAGAAAAAAATAAATTAGCTCATGACTTTTAAAGGGGAAAAAAAATCTACTTTTTAACAGGGATTATTTTGAAACAGCCCACTGTTTAAACTGAGGATTAGAATTTATTTTAAGTGCTTTAATAAAAATATCTGGTGAATGAAATATTGACATGTAGATGAAACATACTACAAGCAATTGTGAAAAAACTAATAGATAGTCTTAAAGATGAATTACCCTTTTCTTTTGGTGGGTTCCTTGTTTTTTTTTTTTTTTGTTGCTGTTGTTTTTTGTTTTTGCACAAAGGGCAGAGCTAATTTCATTTTGTCCGCTGGGTAGAATGTAAAGCTTTTGCATGCCATTTCTCCTCATCTGTTTTGCAAGCATTAATCAGTAAAAGAAACAAGGAAGGAAATTGCAATCCTTCAAACAGCAGAGCCGAAAACAAACAACCAGAACGCGACACAAACAAGGAGAATACTGAGAATATGGTCCTGTGATATAAGACATGAAAAGACTTCAGATCCTGTTTAGGTCAGGGTTTTTTATAAATAATTTACAGTGAAATGAGAAATTAAAAACATCAAAAGCCGTACCAAACTAAATGATTGGACTAAAATCCTTCTTAATAGACAGTTTTGCTGAGAATCAGCCATATATTTTTCATTTTAATGGATAGCATTGCATTTTTTTGCAGAATCAAAGTCATGACATAGGAGAGAGTCTAAATATTAAAATGTATATAACAATCTAATCTCATTTTTAAAAAAAACTGTGTGTATGATAAATACTACAAGTGAACATTGGGGGGAAAATGGCACGGAATAATTGCACACCTACATCTCCAGGCAACACTCCTCTTTACTTTTTGCAGCTCACTAGAAAATGTGGATTTGCCCTCTGCACTACCAAAAAAACATGCATAGAAATGTGTCCTCTGATAAATGTTTCTGTGGGAAGAGCTAAGTTTTACTTGGAAAACCAGCTCCAAACCATCTAGGAAAAAAATCTTCATATTTGTTGCTTCATAAAAGGAGAGGATAGTATGGATCTCTGAATGTGTATTGTAAATATGCAAACCAAAGCATATAAAAACTAAAACTCTTAAGAGGGGTATCTGTGCAGTTTTAATTATTTGGAAAGCAGGCTTATAATGTAGAAGAACAGTCGGTGAGTAAGAGCTGCAAAAGGTAAAGGAAGTAGTCGTAACAGCTGTTATAAAGTCAATATTAATCTTACAAAACAACAAACGATCTAAAGCCCCTCAATGACCACTTCAATGGTCATTAAAGATTATTTCTAACTGCTTAATCAAAATCAATGACAATTATATTAATCAACCTAGTTAACCAGAGTGAGAGTAAAAGGTTAAACCCTTCATGTTTGCCAAGAGGGCATAAAACACCAGATGCCCCTTCATCCGTGTGGCTGCGACAATGTAATGTCATACGCTCCACAATTTAAAAGCTACTACCTAACAATTTTATTTTGCTTTAAGAGATGAAGAAAATAAAGTAATACTGGGATAAATATGATTTTGTCTGTTTGCTTATCCTTTGTTACACTAAAACGCTTCAAAAACACCCCAAAAAACACCAACACTGTATAGAAAAAACTACTAGAACTAATATTCTGTTACGATGGCGGTAACTGGCACTGAGATATTTTGATGTACTTTAAAGAAAAAAACAGCACTGAACATGTGCATTGCTGCATCTCCAGTTTCTTACCGAGACCTGCGGCCCCTTTTGTAGGAACTAGGAAGTGAGTGTCCGCTCTTTGACCTTGAGCTTGATCGTGACCTTCTTCTGTGCTTTTTCTTCTTTTTCTCTTTGTCCCTCCCTTTTTCCCGATCCTTGTCTCTTGCTCGTTCTCTGTCTCGATCTCTGTCCCGATCTCTGTTTCTGTGTCTCTCTGTGCTTTTGCCCGAAGAGTATAATGATGATGATGATGAGCTTGTTTGGAGCTCCCTTATTTTGTTCCCTCCCTGGATCTCCAGAGGTGCTCTTTGATCCTTAGCTATCACAGGTGGTGTATTGTACACTTGAGGAGATGAAGAACCAGACAGGACAGAGTAGGCTTCCTGCAGCTAAAGAGAGAGCAGAAAACCAAAATAATTTCATCAAAAGCATATTTTACAATTTAACAATTACAAACTTAAGGAGAAATGATTGGTTATTGATTGGATTAAAGACTCAGTCATCTATATTGACGCCAGCAGCACTGAATTTCCAAAACATCCATGAAAAGCCAATATTGAGGCCTGTCTCTTCAGGAAATGCAGACCAGTGTGTGGAGATTGAGGATTTATTTATTCAATACCTCCATGTGTAGCCTTGTCATTGTTACATGCTAATGCAATACATGCTGAATGCAGAATTTCAAATAGGGAGGGGGGTGGAACTTTGAATTTATTTATTTATTTATTTATTTATTGCCTCTGCAGAGAAAAAAAAGAGGAGCTACATTTTCTAAGAATTAAATTCTGTCATTAAGATGATGGTAATAGTAAATATTTTAAAAACTGAAGTACGGTATCTATAATTACTTAGAAACATATATGAACAATTATTTTTCTGCTTAATTTCCTTTCAAATGATATAAATGCAAAGTGAGGTGAAGAGTCTAATATTCTTTAGAGTTAACTACTGTAAATAATGAACTGAAAGGGACAAACGTTCCTAAATGCTGGATCGGAGAAAAGCAGACACTTTCAGGGAGTTATTATTCAGGCTCTCTCCTTTAAAGAATGAAGCATTACTCAGCTGTTGAAAAGACTGTTTGGGTTACACAACACAGCAGAAGCCCTCTGGGAATACCCAGAGTTACAACTGTCAGCTACAAATTGCAACTAATTACACAAATGTGAGTCTGTCTGCAAATTTCAGAGTCTTCTGCCTTGGATTAAGTTTAGGGGGAACTGCTTGAAAATCATCATTGAAATATACATGTCGCTTTAAGTAGCAGATTGCTTCAGGGGCTGAGTTTTTAATATGTGTGCATTACCATTCCAGAGGATACTGACAAACACATCAGAATACAATTATATATAATAATGATGATAGATACACTATAGAGATTTTTATGTGAAAATAATAAACAGCACAGTCCACATTGACTGGCAGATGGGTTTAAAATGTTATATAGATAATCTGTAATCTATAAAAGCCTCAACTTTTGATATTAATCGTTTAAAGAATGATGGCCTAGAAAAATGTAGAAAATAATACACATTTAAAACGTACATAATTCACAACATATAACCTATAGAAAATAAATACACAAGTAAATAGTATTAAAAATAGTACAAAGTATATAGTCGTTTCAAAATACCACACCTTAGGTTCAATAATTTTCCGACATACATTAAGTATATTGATGTATAGTCTGACTTAAGCATGAACTATTTATTACACGTGTACATTTATATCAGATTAAATTCATACACGGTACATCTGCAGGAGTTTTTATTTTTTTATTATTTTTATCTTGTCACAATGTTTCTATAATAAAAAAGCATCCTATAATTTCCTAAGTTTTTGCTTGTTGAGTAAAGTGAAATAATGAAATCGTCGATTTGTTTTAACAGCCAACTATTCTAAATGAAGATTCGATGTTACTTTTTTGTTCTGTGAACTTATTTTGACTGTCATACAAAACCTACTACTGTTGCAAAACTTTAAAATTAAAGAGATTAAGTGTAGCTTCAAAAATCGAAGATGAGTTACAACATTAAATTTCCCTTTGGGATTGAAATAGTATTTTTGATTTGGAGAAAGCCATTCCCTTTAGTCTCCCTTTATAGAAACCAGAAACCACTGGAATACCTCAGCTACAAATAACCAACTGGCATGAAGATACTGTCCCATTGTTGATATAGTTCCACTTTCTAACAGTAAGCTTAAGAGGTGTCCCGACGCAATTTTTTGCGTTTCTGATACGATACTGATATTACTGCTTTGAGAAATGGCCAATACCAATATTAACCCGATACGATATTAGGACGAATCATACCTAAATATGACTAAACTGGAAAATAAAAAGGTATGAGAACAACTGACCAATGTAAAACTAACCAAGGTATACATTTATCAACTTAAAGGAATGGCTATAGTAATATTTGTGATGTTATATATTCCAGGAAAACTAATTAAACTATTGGGAAGCCAAGGAATCGAAATAATACATCAAAAAACCCAATTAACTTACAAAATATGAATTAAAAACATTGTTAAGTTAAATTTTTTGAGGAATTTAGGCAAAAATGACCATTTCTGAATACATGAGCTGTGTTTGTAGCATTAACCCAACTGAATAAATAACACATCTTCTTCTGGCTATCTCAATAACTTTACTTGGTCTGAGATTATAGAACTTAAAAAAAGATGAATGTACTCTTAAGTGTTTCACACATCTTTACCAGGAGTGCAGAGAAGCATTAGAAAATGCAGCCATGTTTAAAAAAATAAAAATAGAGTGGATATGTCTCCAATTCAGCAACCTTTTACCCAACTACTTCAATTCCTAAGAAATGAGCAGAGCATATAGAGGAAAATAGGAGGGATGCTGATGATGAAAGACACTGAAAGGAAGAAAATGCTGTAAGAGGGCTGGCTGAAGAGCTTATAAGACAATATATATCTGAGTGGGAAAAGGAGGAACATTTACTTCACTACTCAATTGAAACATTATTTGGGTGTGTGACTTATTATACCACAATTACTGAATGGTAAAAAGTGAGATCTGGTCTGAATAATGACTTGCATCTTGTAGTTGTATTGAAACACAAGGCTAAGAAAGCTTTTGCACTTTAAAAGCTGCCTTCACTAGATACAAAAGATAAGATATAAGAGAAACAAAACAAAGGAACAGCCTCTGCAGACGGAATAAGCAGACTTATTTTCTTCCAATAATAAAGACAGCGTCATGAACACTAATTACCTAAGTAGTAGGCAGTGGACAGCTTACTAATTAACAAGATGCTATTAAAATGATTTACTCCTAATAAGTTGAACTCCTACAGCACAATAAATAATAATTAGGATCACAATAGCAGAAAAAATGTAAAATCTTCCACAGACCGCCAATTACACAACTGAAGATCCTCTAACCATTTCTTATCAAATAAACTTAAGAAAGAAAAGTTCAAGAATATGACAAGATTTTCACGCTTTTAATTATTATATCTGACAGTCAGATTGCTAAAAGCAGCATTAAAAGTATCCTTTAAAAAAAAAAAAAAAAAGGAAAAAAAAAACTGCTTGTAGCAGCAAAGCTTATCCAGAGGGTTTGGTTTCCTCATGACAGCTTACACTAGCTACTACAATAATGCTGCATATTCAACAATAAACAATGTAGGAAACATGCAGAGCATACATCAGCGGATCCAAGACAGCTAATTCAACAGACTCTGCAAACACATGGCAAAAACATCTGTCCCTTAGGCTCAGAATCCTCTTCATGTTTAACCACTGCACAATCCATGCCTTCCAAAGACAGCATTACCATTTAGATTTTGATTTCTATGCCTGAAAGGAGAAGCTTTGGTCCGCTTTAAACATCGGAGTTCAGCCAGGACCTGCTCTGAAAAGCACTTCACAAATGAACAAATCAATTCCAGGCACTGCGGTTTTATCCATTTGAGTTCACCTTCGATTTTGAACAAGTCTTCTAATTAGGGGGGTCTTGTAAATTTTAATGCACCTGCAGAAACATACGCAGAGTTAAAATGATTTCCCAATATTCAGGTTAATTTTCAACAAGTTCAATGTCTTTTTAACAATACTGTAAAGATTAATATACTTAAGCCTTTACATGGAAGACTGATTAAAAGCTGGTCAGAGTTCATAGAGATTGCTGACACCAAATACAGAACAGTCCTGGATAAAAAAACCTGTTGGCAGCCAAGAAACTGGGGACTCAGCTGTAGGTTCGACCTGAAGCAGGACAATGAAACCAAACACACAACAACAGCTAGAATAAAACTGCATAGAAAACGGCACGTAAAAAAATACAGCCCAGCCAAAGAAGAGACCTAAAACCGGCCTGACACGACTTAAAAATTGGTATTCAAAGACAATTCCCACTGAATTTACTATGCTTAAGTTACTATGTAATGACATAACTCAAAAGACATGCAGTTGTGTCCACAAAGAAATTTTTTTTTTGCAAGATTGTTCTTCAAGGGAGCTGAATGAAAAAAAAAAGGAAAACTTTGTGTTACCAAACTTAATATAATACAGAAAAAACTGTGGCTGCTAAGTGATAAAAATGCACAGAAGTTGTATCTGTATCTATGTTAGTAGTGTATGTAAGTACTGTATCTATCTATGTATCAGTGAGCCCTAACTATAAACTTTAAAGCTAGGCGGAGGATGAATATGCCCTGAGGGCCACTGCAGGGACCACAGAAAAGAATGAAAGCGCTGCTGCAGTGACAAGAGCCAACCTTCTGCCACCTGGCCTTTTAGGCAGCAGGCCAGCTCTGCATGCACCTGATGTGATAACAAGAGGAGTCGACATGTAACATCCATCACATAAAGGTTCAATCTACACATCAAATGGCTGCTCTGTCTTATTTACACTATAAAGAACTCCTGTCTTTTTGCACATTTTGATATGACAAAGGAAGAGCTTGAAAAGCCTGTAGGATCTGCCTTTGTCAGACGACCTTTATGAGTGTTAAAATAAAACAGAAAATGTATCTTATTTTTAAAAAGAGCTATGTTAGCTGAACAGAAAGGGTTAACATTTAAGCTTTAGTTTCTGTTATTGTGACTCACACTAGCTGATTGGCTCACCACCTCCACATAGTGTGCCCTGAGCATTTAATGACGTTTAGTAAACCTGTCTAAACGAAAAAAATGTAAACAGCTGCCATTAGAAGAAAAATAAGAATAATATGCAAACCTTTTCATGAGTGAATAACAAGAAGAACTAAGACCCAAAACCTCTCAGGAAATAAATAAAAAGAAGAATACAACAAAACATGTATTATCTAGATCAATCAAAAATCTTAAGACTATTTCAACCCCCACTCTGTTGGCTACATTTCTTCCCTTTTGAAAAAAGTGTGCCTTTTCAAGTAAA